CACTTGAGGACAAGTAAAGAACTAGTTTGGGGGAGTTGATATCTTGCATATTTGCATTGTTTTACCCATTCATCCATGAGCATTTTCATCATATAGATTAGGATTTAGCCATGTCTAGGTTTCATTTTGCATTCATTGTCCTTATTAGGTGTTGGAATGTGCCATGGAGTGATTTGAGATGTTTAGGAGCATTGTGATCAAAAAGGGGCTGAAAGATGAGCATGGATGGAGCCTTTAAAGATATCTTCTATTGCTAATATTTTGTGGAGACATACAAAATTGAGTTAGCTTTCTAATGGAAGTGGTTTCAGTACTCTTTGTAGCCTACCAGGAGATCATCTTTGTTCTTGAAGAGAAACCATTGAAAAACCTTTGTTTACTTGTCTATTTTCATCATTTACATGATTAAGCTTGAATTTAACATGGGTTTAAGAGTAATCATGATGATTAGTGAGTAAATCACCATTGAATTCATGGGTTAGGGAGATTAAGGGTGATTAGGTTAGTTCTAGGTTGTGTAGATCATCCTTGTTCCTTGCTAGTAGAGTAATCCTAATGCTTCTTTTGAGTTAGCCACTCAAAGGTTGATCTCTAGACATTTCCCACTCACATAGTGTTCGATGAAATGTCTGAGTCAACTCTCCTAAGCTTTTAACATTCTTTACCAGGGACACTTGTTGTTAAAGGTGTTAAGATGGCTAGTAGACTTATTCGTAATGATTGCTTTCATATTATTCAACCAAAGATATTTGATGTTTGAGATATGTTAGCAAATGAACATTCATCTAGACATAGAGCTTGTTTAGAATTGTGTCTACGCTTAAGGTTGATAGTTTAATTGATCGCTTGCCATCCTTAGTTCGAAACTTGATCACCCAAGGTCTAATCCCTATACCCATGAGTTCTCCTTTCTCTTAATCAAAGAAGTTATTTTTATTATCGCTTTTCTTATTCTTAGTTATAGTTTAGAACCATCATTTATTCGATTGCACTTAGATTAAGCTAGTACTTGCATTCTCAGTGCTTTAAAATCCATCAGAACTGGTTCGACAATCTCTTATACTACAACATTTGTCTTAGGAGCCTTAAAAACTCCTAACATCAATAAATTATTGCAAGCAGAAACAGAGCTACAGAATTTGCTAGAGACAAAGATATTATAGTTTGAAATTACTGTACCTGAAGCTGAGCAGCGATGATAAACTAGTTAAGCTCTGCTATTGTAATAGGCTCAACCTTTGCAAACCCCAGTATCGTTTGTGACCAAACTGTAGTAATAGTGAGTACGTTTCAAAGGATCAAGCGGTTCTTTTCTTTTCACAGTTTATGAACGCTGTTCCTGAAAACTTTGGTGGAGCATCAGTGGAGAAACTAGAGGATCTCTTGGGGTTTAAATGCAATGAGCTGGATTGTATGAAGCTTGTTAAAGAGGTAACAAAGGAGGAGATTAAAGATGTTTTATTCAAAATGCCGGGACACAAGGCACCAGGTCCAGACGGTTATACAACAGAGTTCTTCAGAGAAACTTGGCAGGTAATTGGGGATGATGTCGCAAATGCTATACAGTCGTTCTTTATTAAGGGGTTCTTGCCGAAAGGGCTCAACTCAACTATATTGGCACTGATTCCTAAAACAGCAGAAGCAAAGATTATGAAGGACTACAGACCAATTTCGTGCTGCAATGTTTTATACAAGATAATATCAAAGATCCTGGCGAACAGATTGAAGGTTCTATTGCCACGGTGTATCTCTCTAAACCAGTCTGCTTTTATCAAGGAAAGGTTGTTAATGGAGAATGTACTTCTTGCTACTGAGATTGTGAAAGATTACCACCGTGAAGACATATCCTCAAGGTGTGCTATGATAATTGATATCTCAAAAGCTTTCGATTCTGTGCAATGGAGTTTTCTTCTAAACATTCTTCAGGCTCTTGGATTCCCGGAGATCTTTATTAAATGGATTTCGCTTTGTATCACTAGGGCTTCGTTCTCGGTCCAAGTAAATGGTGAACTTGCTGGATACTTTCAGAGCAACAGAGGGTTACGTCAGGGATGTTCTCTTTCACCTTATCTGTTTGTTCTTTGTATGAACGTTTTATCTAAAATGTTGGATAAAGCAGCCTCGCTGAACCGGATTGGGTACCACCCTAAATGCAAAAACATTGGTCTAACACACCTTTGTTTTGCAGACGACTTAATGGTATTCATTGAGGGTTCTCGAAGATCTGTTGAAGGGTTCTGGAGGTTTTTGAAGAGTTTGATCAAATGTCTGGACTGAAGAGTAGTTTGGAGAAATCGACATTGTTTATGGCTGGATTTTCAGACCAGAAAAAAGTTGAGATCATGAGTCACTTCCCCTTCGCTTCTGGAAGCCTTCCTGTCAGGTATCTAGGGCTGCCTTTACTTACTAAGAGCATGTCTGTTAATGATTTCCTTCCTCTAGTAGAGAAAATCAGGAAAAGGATTGGGTCTTGGACTGGACGCTTTCTCTCTTATGCTGGTAGACTTCAATTAATAAACTCTGTTATTATGAGTTTGGTTAATTTTTGGATGGCTGCCTTCCGGCTCCTTAGCTGCTGTATTCAGGAAATTGAGCGTATTTGCTCAGCTTTCCTTTGGTCTGGGGTGGAATTAAATAGTAAAAAGGCAAAGGTTAGTTGGAGGGAAGTATGTAGAACGAAGCAGGAGGGGGGCCTTGGTATTAGGTCTTTGAAGGAGATGAATATGGTTTGTATTTTGAAGCTTATATGGCGTATTCTTTCTGCTAATTCCCTCTGGGTCAGTTGGGTTAAGATATATCTTATCCGGAAAGCTTCTTTCTGGTCCATTAAAGATACATCCCAATTGGGTTCCTGGGTCTGGAGAAAGATTTTGAAGTATAGAGAGAAAGCAAAGGAGTTGTCTAGAGTGGATGTTAGAAATGGAGAGAAGACTTCGTTTTGGTATGACAAGTGATCTCCTCTAGGTTGTCTAAAGGTGTTAATAGGCAATGGAGGGTCTATTGACTTGGGGATAAATGATTGTGCGAAAGTTGTTGATTGCTGTCGCCATAAAAGAAAGAATCATCGATATATGATTCTTAATAGAATTGAGCAGGAGATTGAGAAGTTCAAAATGAATAGGAAACAAGAGGAGGATGATGTCTATCTTTGGAGAAATGCAAATAACAAGTTCAAGAAGAAGTTCTCCACTGCAGATACTTGGAAACAAATTAGAGAACCGCATCTTTCTTATGAATGGCACAAAGCTGTGTGGTTTAAACATGCGACGCCGAAGTACTCGTTCATGGTTTGGGTTGCTTTGAGGGATCGGCTAGCTACTGGTAACAGAATGAGTCAATGGGCCTTGAATGTGGATGCCTCGTGTATTTTTTGTCAGGAACCGATAGAAACTGTGGGTCATCTCTTCTTTGAGTGCTCTTTCTCCAAACTAATCTGGGAGAATCTGGCTAGAGGGGTGTTAAAGGATAGATTCACTTCGAGCTGGTTGGATATTCAAAGGCTCATTACTGATGAGAAGCAAGAGAGAATGACTCTTTTTACTACCAGATATTTATTTCAGGTTGCTGTCCATAGTATATGGAGGGAAAGCAACCGTAGACGTCATGGGGAAGCTCCTTCTCCTTCTGCTCTTGTCGTTAAGCTAATAGATAAGACAATGAGAAATAAGTTTTCTCAATCATTCAACAGAAGGGTGACAAGAGACTAGCAGGGGGACTGCAGTTTTGGTTCACAACGAGATAAGGTTGAACTTCGGGGTTGTGTTTTTGTTGGTTTTTTTTGACCCAGTAGGAGTGAGAGCTGGGAACTCAGTAGGAGTGAGAGCTGGGTTTGAAAAGCCTAGTAGGAGTGAGAGCTAGGTACTCAGTAGGAGTGAGAGCTGAGTTGGAGTGTTTTTTTTCAGAAAAATTACAGTGTTTTGGAGGTTGCTTGGCAGAGAAGTCCAGTGTTTTGGAGGTTACTTGGCAGAGAAGTAAAAAGGGGTGCTGGATCTTTATAGCTTTTCAAATGTTAAATTTCGATCTTTTCTTTTTTTAGAAACATTTTGTAAAAGGTCTTTTTTTTTAGTTATAAATTAACATTTTGATTAAAAAAAAAAAATAGTGAGTACGTTTCTTGATGTAATCAAGTAGTAATTTTAAATGCTTACTTGTAAAGATAACTCTCACCAGCATCTTTTAAAAATAAGAATGAGTCCCAGATGGAGTATTCAGAAACAATCACCCTGGAGATTTAAGGTGCGCCACTCTTTGCAAAAGCATCATGGTGGACATCAGTTTACTAAATCATAAGAAGAAGAAGTAAAACATAATTGGGTATCACAACAGTATGAAAGAATACCTCACACATAACTGGGTTCATAACTGGGATTAATGTTTGTTGGAACAACAGCTTGTGGATCAACCCGGCAAGCATTCAGGTTGTTTGTGAAACGTCACAGCTTGAGAGTCAAACACACTCAAGGTGACAGACACGTCATTACAAAGGACAAAATATGGTCCAAATCCTCAAGGTGTTTGTCTAAGAAAGTGGTATTATCAATTATAAAAGTGTAGAAGCCTATATAAGAAAGTAATAGAAACCTATCTATCTGGTTGCCATGACACGATCTTTGCCTTGATCGTTTACATGACTCTCTACAGCAGTTAGCTCAGCAATCATATATGTCATAAGATGAACATTTGAAAGAATAAAATGGCTTTTGATGATGAGTTTAAGCCACAAAAATATTAGGTTTACCTGGAAGATTGGTTTTGGTGTTTGTTAGACCAAGCAGTTGCATGAAAGTATTCAGGTGTTGCACGTTGACGGTGGATTGCATGAATGTTGGTTGCAATACAGGAACACAGTAAAGCGAACTAACAAGGAAACAAAAATCTCAGAAATATGAACATAAGCTTTTGTATTTAATAAGTACATTAATCTGAATACACTGCTAATGAAAACTATATTCGGTCACCTGGAAGCTGCCTGTTTGTGTTAGCCAATCCAAGCAACCCTTCATTACAGAACCAGAAACCTTCTTCAGGCAATGTCGAAACCAGGTCGGTTATCTCCTCCAAAGAAGTTGTCAGTGAATCGAATCAGTAAGGATGACTCGGAAAGTTTGAAATTTGGAGCACACCGAGCTACGCCAAATCCAGAGATGAAATCAACCGATCCGGCAGTGAGCCTAGGCCGGAACAATGGAATCCGATCAGCACTGATCTCCGCCTGCATAATAGTCCCATGAATCATATGTTTGGAAGAAATCAGAGCAGAGAGTTTAAATGTGAAGGAACATAAAGAGTTTTGCCGGAATAAAAAATCAAATTTAGACAGACATATATGATCAATGTTCATAAAACTGAGAACCAATAGTCATACATAAATGGGACGGATAAAAAATTTTAAGTAAAACAAAAAAAATCTAGACAGAGAATCTATAAACATAAACAACAGTACCGGAAAAATTAATTCTAATCTATAAACATAAAGAACAGTAGCAGAAAAATAAAATCTAATGATACCGTAAATCTGAAAACCAATATACAGACATAAATGATACGGATTCACTTTTTTTGGTTCTACAAAGATCTGAGTCATACATAACACCTTATAAAAAGAGAAACATCATCACCGGAATATTGAAATCATATGCTACTATCACTTACATTCACATCGATTATTAGCATATCGAGACACGTGAGTTGACCACCATGGCGAGCACTTGTCGCCTCCCAGATACGGAGGAGTCTAGCGTCAACGCTGAAATAGCACCTACTGGACTTCATATCGGAGAAAAGAACCCTAGTATTAGCCATCTCAAAAGCAATATATATCTAAGCGCTTTGAAGCCAAATAAGATCAATGGAGAAGAAGACCATCGTCAATTTATACCTATTATCTGAAAACGGATCACTGATGTTGACGTAGTGGGGATGTCATTGATGTCGATGAAGGGATTAATCAGTAAGCTTTTACGCTTGCCGTTCCAGATCGTGAAATTAATCGGAAAGAGAAGAGTCGTGCCGTTAAAACAGAGTGACATCTTCCTCGTTGAGACATGAATAGTCTCTTAGAGTTTCTTCCCAATCAGGCCAAAACCAAACTAAAAAACCCAAAGTAATGTAAATCAAAGCAAGAATTCGGCCAAAAAAAACACGAACTTTGCACGAATTGCCAAAAGAAACCTGTACTTTTGGCCTGACAAAAAAAAACATAAATTTTTCATTGACTTTCGAATTAATTAACAATGTTTTCGTTGACTTGCCAATTTGGCACGCCGTCAGCAAATTTAACAGAAAAATTAACGTTGTTAATTGTTGCCGTTAGGATGAGACAACGTCGTTTTCAATTGAGATGAAACGACGTCGTTTTAACCGATTTGAAAATAAAAAGCCATAGACCACTGGACTCAAACCTGGGTTGATTGGATCAAATTGTAAGGTAGTTTACCACTGGGCTAGTGGCGCATTCAATGTATCTGCTAACACATTTACTTATATTTGGTACTTATTGAATATAAAAAAAATTCTATAAAAACTTTAAAAAATCTTTAAAATTTCAAAAAAAATGAAAAAAATAAAGAGCTTTTTTATAAAATTAATTTTGAAATTAAAATTAAAATTAAAAATTATTTTTTCTTTCAATGTATCTACTAACACATTTACTTATATTTGGTACAGATTGAATATAAAAAAAATCTATAAAAACTTGAAAAAATCTTTAAAATTTCAAAAAATGAAAAATAAAGAGTTTTTTATAAAACTAATTTTGAAACTAAAATTAAAATAAATTTTTATTTTCTTTAACAAAAGCAAAAATCTTCCAAAATTTTAGTTTAAAGAAAAAGTAAATTTTATTTTAATTTTATAAAAAAAATCTTTATTTTTTCATTTTTTTTTGAAATTTTAAAGATTTTGAAAGTTTTTATAGATTTTTTTTATATTCAATCTGTACCAAATATAAGTAAATGTGTTAATAGATACATTAAAAGAAAAATAAATTTTATAAGTTCCCGTCTGTTTTTTTAAAGAAAAATAACATTTTAATTTAATTTTAATTTTAATTTCAAAATTAATTTTATAAAAAAATTCGTTCTTTCTCATTTGTTTTGAAATTTTAAAGATTTTTAAAGTTTTTATAGAATTTTTTTAATATTCAATCACTACCAAATATAAGTAAATGTGTTAGTAGATACATTGAATGTGCCACTAGCCTAGTGGTAAACTACCTTGCCACTTGATCCAATCAACCTGGGTTTGAATCTAGGGGTCTACGTCTTTTTTTTTTCAAATAGCTTAAAACGACATCGTTTCATCTCAATTGAAAACGACGTCGTTTCATCCTAACAGCAACAATTAACGTCCGAGTTAACACCGTCTTAACGCTTCGTTAACGGTGTGTTAAAATGGCGAGTCAATCGTAAGTTTCTTAATAAACTAATAAAGTCAACAAAAGTTCAGGTTTCTTTTGGCCAGACTCGAGTACAGGTTTCTTTTGGCCATTCGTGCAAAGTTGGTGCTTTTTTTGGCCGAATTCTCAAATCAGAGCTCATAAAAGTTTCGATTAATGAAACTCATCAAACAATGTCATTTCTAACGTGTCCTATTCAAGGCATATGACTTTCCAGGCTGGATCCTATGTGTACAGCTTAAAAAAGGAGGAAAACACTACTATATAGAAATAGATATTAATATTTTAATTTAATTTATTTATTTAACTAAATTTAAACAAATAAAAGGCAATTACACAATTAGAAATGCAACACCTGTAGTATTAAGCTCTTCCCATCTTTGTAACATTTTTCTGCAAAGTGCCATCTCTCATCTTTTCACTTCTATCTTTCTTACTTTATTGTCTTATATAATTTAAGTTGATGAGAGACTTAGCTTAGAGATCACCACTAATGGTGCTCTAAGGCCTAATTTGGACAGTGAATAAGGTTGCACTACACCTTTCAATATTTTTTGATATTTCCCTTAAATATTTTTAAAATATTTATAATAGATGTGTTCACATACCAATGTGACACATGTCAGCCCATAATCATTTAAAAATTAGAATGCTGGCATAGTAGCCTCACAATCATTTAATAATTAATGTATTTATATTCTAATTTTCTTAACTCCAACGCAACAATTTAATGTGTTTACACACTAATTTTTTTTAATCAACTTTTTAGTTCCTTCATTTTTAACCTTTGCATTAGTGAATTACAATTCTCTTCATGCAACTACTAAATAATATCATTGCCGGGAAAAAAATTACCGAATCATTAAGATTCGCATCAACTAAAATGATGAAATGAGAATATTTTAGAAATGAAAGTTTTGTATCTTGCCGAACTTGGTCATAGTTGAGGCTTTTGTACACGATGACAACAAATAATTGTGATTGATTAAAATTAAGAAAACTGAGGTTAAAACACCACACACAAATTCATTTCTTTGGTTTAGCCAAGTATCGTTTTTCTTTACAGAGTTTTTATATCAGAAAAGAACTAGAAACATAATTAGATTATTAGAAGAAAAAAAAAACAAATCAGAAAAGTTTTAAAAGAAAAGAAAATTTCGTGAAATTGATTGAAAAGTAGAATTTAGCTGCCGAGTGAAGAGATCACATTATTTTCAACGCAAACCTAACTTCCTTTCACTCGATTGTATCGTGTTTTTATTATATTTACCAAGATTTTTTATAAAAAAATATATGTTATTGGTTATAGACTACGTAATGTTGCAATATACCCAACTATATTGACACGACACTCAACCTTTTTTTTTGGTATTCTTAAAATATTCAATGATTATGTATGTTAAATAAGCCTCTAATATTTGTTTTACATTAATAATTATTTTACTTTAAATTAGCAGAAGAAAATAAATCTGGGTAAATATATATATCCGCAGAACCGAACCAAACTTGATTTGAAAGTAATACTAAACAAAAACTATAACTGATTATATACTCAGATGCATCTAAAAGTCTAATATCCAGATAACTAAAACCGATTCCGATTCAAACTGAAATATTTTGAATATCGAAAATATCTAAATCACAATTATACTTAAATGTATTGATTATATTAAATGTTATATGGATTTTTAATTTAAACACTCCTCAATTAAATTTATTTCGAGTAAAAACCCCTCAATTAAAGATGTACCGTATAAATCCCCAAGGCATCTTTCTTAATGAATCAACCCTTCTTTTAACGGTTTCGTCACTGCTAAACACTGGTTTTTAGTTAGCTCGTAAACAAACATGATTTGTTAATAAGCAGCACGTTGTTTACGTAAAACGTCATGTGGTTAGTCCTTCCTCTCTAAATCCCCAAGTGAGCAACCCTAATTTGCGAAAGACAGGAGCTTTGAGATTTTTTTTTTTTTTTTTTGGTAAAAGAGGTGTTTTGAGTTTTGCTTATTTATTTTGAGAATTCGAGTGATGCTGAGTTCGAGAGAGGGTGAGAGAGTCGGGAGACATTATAGGACATATTATGTCAAGCAACAATGTGAAGATCACGGGGATGATAATGCTTAAGGATTGATCATACTAAAAGTGTTGGCTATCATAGATAGTCGACGAAGACCATTCAAGAAAATGTAGAAAACCACTCACTAGGCCAAGCAACCACTGAACTCTGCCAGACCAGAACCATGTTTTTGGTGTTTATTAATTCAACTTAAGGTCCTTAAAACCATGTTTTGCTGTTTCATTTGTGCTGACGCAAGGTCATTAAAACATTATGCTAATATTCTATAAAACACAAATAATCTCACTTAAATTCTTCACATGTGCTGTTGACATTCTCTCTTTTTGGCTTGGCCTCTCCACTTTTCTCAGGTCTCTGGCAGCCTCTATATTCTATTGTTCTCACTTGAACACCACTCTGTTTTTGTTCTCTCAACACTCTCAGTTTGTTGACTTGTGTTTTATATTTGACACAAGCACACACTCTCTCTCTTGACTCTCTCACTCACGTTTGTTCTTGTAGAGAGAAGAGAGAACATTTTTACGTCTACATTGTTCTTTCTTTTCTCCAAATCTTACTAGCTCTTCTTAGCTAGGCTTTTATTCCACACTTCATAATTCCTTGATAGCTTGGTCAACTAATATCTTTTCTTCTCAACTTGATTCTTTGTGACTAAAGTCACATCTCAATTCTTGTTTGACTTTTTATTTTAGTTGACTTTTGCTTCTTCTTCTTTTCCTTGAGTGGTAAGCAATCTCTTGCTTCCACTTCTTCATTCTTCAACGTGACTCTTTGGTCACTTCTTCTTCTTGTTCATTTTCTTGTGTGGCAAGGTTTCTTGCTTCCAATTCTTCTTCTCTTGGATGATTTGATCAAGGTTCAAGCTAATCATGTGCTTCATCTACCCACTTGAACATGAAAACTAAAGGCATCGTGATTATAGCTCCAACTAGCAATCTATTTACACTGCAATTCAACATTGATTTCAAACATCAACAACTCAACTATTAATCTCTTTACACTAATTCACATAGTTCGCCCTAATATCGTTTTCTCTCTGGCCCAATTATCGAGGAGCCGCATTGTTTCATCACCTTTGACGCCAGCGGCGGTTCTGTTTGCCGGCGTCACCGTTGCCTCTCTCCACCTTCGTTTTGCTTCGTTACCTGCGCCCTTAAAATCATGTCCTTCGTTTTAGATTTCATCTTTGCCGACGGGAGAAGCAGATGCCATCATTGCTCGTCTCCCTCCGCGATTCACGCCGGTGGCTGTGCCATCTGCTCCTCTCCTCGAGTTTGTCTCCCCGCTGCTCCTTTGTTAGCTCTCATCACAACTCCTTTGTTTTCAATC